TTGTTGTTTGGCGGGTCTGGGCTGGGGATTTGAACCCACCACCTTAGGTGTACGTGGCTGGCGCCTTAGCCAGTTGAGCTATAGGCGCCGAGCCAGGCCTAGTCCTTTATGTTGATCAGGTTATTACAGTCCTTTGAATGGTTAACTTGGAGAGGTTCTGCTGTATTTACATTTATGTAAAGAGCTAGTAAATGTTCAAAGTCCAACAATCCAACAGGAAAACAAGCCAAGTTTATGAATGGTGTTCATAATGGTATATCCACATAATGGAATATTATATACCTAAATAAAAGAAAGATGTCTGTGTGATATAAAAAACTCTAAATATTTAGAGTGAAAACAACAGACGGAAAATCATACAGGGTGTCCCTAAAGTTGCTATACATAGGGAAAATGGGAAATTATAGTTAAATATACTTTTATTTCAAAAATATTCATTATAAAGTATTTACACAATGTTCTCTATGTGTTGGCCACCTCTTTGTAAAATTTTGTAATGAATATTTTGGAAATAAAGGTACGTTTAGCTACAATTTCCCATTTTCTCTTGTGTGGCAACTTCAGGGACCTCTTTTGGGACACCCTTTATAACTGTTGTATGTGTGTTTGAGTGTATATATTGTATATCTGCTACCTTTTGTATAAAAAAGAAAAATGAAAATTTACTTGCTTGTTTTAAAATAAATGAATATAAGAAAAATACATAAGAAATTAATAAAATAATTATCTGTGTTTATGAGACCTCTCAAAATATGCTTGTTAAATATTTTGATTTTTGAGTCATATTAATGAATATATTATCTATGCAAAAAAATAGGTAGATAATAAGTAGAGTTCAATAAGAAAAACAAACATGGACATCCTCTAAAAGCAAATCTGTTTTAGAATTATTGTTTTGGAATACTCTTATTTTAGATGAGTAGCATCAAGGATGTCGAGACTAGGTTTGTTTCTGCTAAACCTATCTGAAAATTAAGTAATGCGTACGTTTTTTTCATTTTAGTATTAACAGTACCAGCAACAGACATTGCTGAAGAAACTGTTATAAGTGAAGAACCACCAGCTAAGAGACAATGTATCGAAATAATTGAAAACAGGGTGGAATCTGCAGAAATAGAAGTAAGGAGTCTTTTACCCGGTGTGTTTTGCTCCAGTCATCCAAAATAAATTCAATTTACTTTTATTTTCTTTTTTATTTTTGTCTCTTATATTTATTACTGACAGTATTGTTTCAATACAGAATGAAAGCGCATAGTATTATGATTTTGTTTAATTTTTTTTGCCTTATACATATAGCAAGCCCTCAATAAATAAACATTGAATGAATGAATGAGCGAGTGAAGAATTTGTTTGTAACAAAGTCTGTCATCTGATAACACTGGGATGTCTTTTATTCTTGCACTCCATCCTTTATTTTCTATTAAACTTACAAACACACCATTCTCACAAGTCATTAAAGGAAATACCACTCTATACTACTAAAAATTTATTTTCTTTCATAAACGAAATGCAAATGCCTAATTGTGCTCGAGTATTCTCTTTAAAAAAAATGATGTTTGTCAAATGGGTTATTTTGCAAAAAGCAATAGATAACTGCTTCTTTCACTATTAAGTCTTTTAAGGAAAATAAATTAATTTTGACTGATAGGATTTAACTTTTTTTGCCCTCTCCCAAACTAGCTTGTAAGGTAAACCAGTTTGTGGGTGTAAGGATAGTGGTGTCATATTTTTTTTTCTCATTTTATAAATAAAGCTGTGTTCCCTGAATTTGACATTTATTTATCAAATGAAAACAAAGTTATCCTTCAATAACTTTGAAAGAGCAACTGCAGTATAAACAGCATTGGACTTGAAATAAAATAAACTGGATTTGAATCCCACCTCTTGTCCTATTAGCTTTGAGGCAAGATAGCTTCTTTCTGAATTTCAGTTTTATTATGTCTCAAAGTGGACTTTAGATTAATCTCTCCATTTTAGGGTTTTTGTGAAAATTGAAAAACTCACATTCATTTTGTAATATTTATAATATCTGATACAGGGTGGTCATAAAGTTCATTAAATTGTACATTAACTTTATGGCCACCCTGTATATGTATATATATAGTAAATTTGGTGACTGTGTAATAGTTCTGTGAAAGGTTCTTATCATAGAAAGATGAAGATTTTTTTAAAAAGTCGCTTAAAAGGAAACATAATTCTAACTAAAGAAAATTAGAAATTGTGCTTCTCAAATTCATTTAAATATAAGACTGATATGTCTTTGGCCACAATCACAGATAATATGTCATTGAGTTTAAAAGAACATGATTCATGACTTAGCCAGAATATTTGGTAGAATCATAACTTTAATTATTGATAATGGGTTGTTTTGTCTTTAAAATTTAAAGTGATATGAAGGATATTCAAGTAAACGATTTATTACATTGAACAGAATCAGTATATTTATTGTGTAATTTATTGCTTTTTTCCTGATAAGTCAGATCTTTTTCAGACATAAGATGAAAAATTTTGTCATGTACTTTTAACTGTCTAATAAAACATTTTAAATTATTTGCATTTTTATTAAATACAAGCTTATTTTGTTGAACAAATTACATTTTTTAACCAATGAATGTACAGCCTGTACTTTTACATACCTAATCACTAGTGAGCATTGCTGTTTCCCTCAAGTTCAACCTGATTCCTCTCTTATAGTCTTTGAGAGACCAGGAGAAATAAATAAAAATAACAGGAAAGGATGAATTGAGGTATATGAATTAACTAACCAAGGGAATGGAACTTCAGGGAGAGTGAGTTTTAGTTTGATCAAAGAATGGCGGTTTTTGTGTGCTATATTTTGTTTTTAGTAATTAGAGCTTTCTGGTAATGAAAATCTTATTTTCCATCACTGGAAATGTTGAAGCCAAGGTTGCATGACCTGTTAGGGCTGTTACAGAGGAACCTTGAAGAACATAGTCAGTATAGATGGTAGAGGTGGGCTGGAGATGCAGAATGAAGAGATGATCTCCAATGTTTTCATCAAACCAGGTAATCATTATCCTTATAAGATATGAAATCATTCTTTTGAAAATATTTTTCTAGATAACTAGTACTCTTGGGGAGAGATTTTTATTTTCTTTTCTAAGGGACAGGTTGACTATTAACTTAAAACGCTTCTCAAAAGCAGTGGGTCTTAACTGGGGCAATTTTAATCCCAGGGGACATTTAGCAACGTCTGGAAACATTTTCGTTTTCCATGATTAGTGGCATTCTAATGGTATTTGATGGGTAGAGGCCAGGTAGACATCCTAACAATACACAGGACAGCCCCCCAGAATAAAGAACTTTGTGGTTGAAAATGTCAATAATGCTGAGATTTAGAAACTCTGAAGAAATTTAAAAATTAACTCATATAAAATCTAACATGTTTCATTCTGTTTGCAGTTGTCCTAGTAACGTCTATAAAGAAGGTACTAAGAATTTATGTTTATAGAGTTTCCCAACTAACTATGGAGAGATTTACCAATATCAGGAGAAATTATATAAGCTGTATGATTTTTAAGAGACAGAGTTTCAGGCGGCGCCTCTGGCTCAGTGAGTAGGGTGCCAGCCCCATATACTGAGGGTGGCGGGTTCAAACCCAGCTCCAGCCAAACTGCAAGAAAAAAAAATAGCTGGACATGGCAGGTGCCTGTAGTCCCAGCTACTTGGGAGGCTGGGCCTAGGCCCAGGAGCTGGAGGTTGCTTTGAGCTGTGACGCCACAGCACTCTATCGAGGGCAACAAAGTTAGACTGTCTCTTAAAACAAAAAAAAGACAGAGTTTCACTTTGTCACCCTCGGTAGAGTGCTGTGGCGTCATAGCTCACAGCAAACCTCCAGCTCCTAGGCTTAGGCGATTCTCTTGCCTCAGCCTCCCAAGTAGCTGCTACTACAGGCACCCGCCACAACACCTGGCTAGTTTTTTGTTGCAGTTTGGCCAGAGTTGGGTTTGAACCCACCACACTTGGTATATGGGGCCAGCGCCCTACTCACTGAGCCACAGGCACCGCCGAGCTGTATGGTTTTTATATCTGATTTATAGCAATATAAGAAATGAAATAGGTTTGTTTTTTTGGAGGTGAAGTTATGAATAAGACACCAAATTGCAATAATGTATGTGTGTTTATATAGATATTTGGGGGGGGGGGTGGTCAGGTGAAGACTGGAAAACCTAAAACAGCTGTAACACTGCAATAATACATATAATTTTGTTACTACCCCTTGATATTACTGCATTAAAGAAATTTTTAGAGGAAATGTGCTAGTTAAGGATTTCTTCCATAAATAAACATTAGAATATTCTGAATTTAAATTAACCTTTGTATTTGTGGGAGAGAAGAAATACAGTTAGTACATTTGTTAGTTGTTAACAGAGTTTCTCTATTACACAACTTGGTTGTGTAAATTCAGAAAGTACCTTTACTTTTATTTGCCATGGAGGTTAGGATAAATATATTTAATAGTGAATTTTATTTATTTTTGATGAAATATTTGTGTCTTTTTTTTTTCTTTTTTGAGACATAGCCTCAAGCTGTTACCCTGGGTAGAATGCAGTGGCGTCACAGCTCACAGCAACCTCCAACTCAAGCGGTTCTCCTGCCTCCACCTCCCAAGTAGCTGGGACTACAGGCGCCCACCACAACACCCGGCTATTTTTTTGGTTGCAGCCGTCATTGTTGTTTGGCAAGCCGGGCTGGATTTGAACCTGCCAACTCTGGTGTATGTGGCTGGCGCCTTAGCCACTTGAGCTACAGGCACCAAGCCAAAATATTTATGTCTTTTAACTAGTGGAGATTTGAGATCCTTAGTGTTGTTTAAAAATCGATTTCTGTAAACATATAACATTTTACTTGATACAAAATTTTCCAATCTATTTTTCTTGTATTAATGGATATCCTTTCTGATCTGCCACAGCTTAAAATTTTCTTTAGTCTTCTCTCTTCTTGGTAAGTCTTTTCTCAAGGGTGGGAGAAGGGAAAGTTTGTTTTGTAAAGGCCAGGTAGCAAATGTTTTTGATTCCAGGGACCACAGTCTCTCTTGCAACGACTCATTTCTGCCATTGTAGTGGGAAAGCAGCCAGAGACAATTTGGAAATGAGTGGGTGTGGCTATATCTCCATAAAACTTTATTTGTAAAAACAATGATACTTGTTATATTTGGCCCAAGGCACTTAGAAAGATTGCTGTTTACACATAAGCAAACAGTCCACACACCTCTCCCAGTTTCTTTTTCTACAAAACATTTAGTGGTTCAGGAAGCTGGGTCTGGAATCAGATTTCAGGTTAAGTTTTATTTTATGATATTCTGATTGTGTGATTTTGGTCAAGTTATTTAGCCTTTCAAAGTTTGGCTTCCCTGTCAGTAAAAAGGGGGAGATAATAATAGCACTTACATTATATTGTTGTAAGGATTAAATGGGAATGCACGTGAAGGGTTAGTATAATGGCAGTTCTACAGTAAATACTTAGTAAATTTGGTTGCTGTTATCCTTCTAAAATTCACACTGAGGGATGGTAGAATATAAATCAGTAACAATTTTCTACTTTGTAATAGGTTAAGCAAAATATAAATCTGAATATTAGAAAATTTCATATTAAGACAATAAAACTGTTGTGTCATTGCTGCTAGCTGAAGCAAAATTCAGAATCATCTTTAAGGCCAGGTGCAATGGCTCATGCCTGGAATCCCAGCACTTTCGGAGGCTGAGGTGGGTGGATCACCTGAGCTCAGGAGACCCCATCTCTAAAAATAGCTGGGTGCTGTGGCGGGTGCCTGTAGTTCCAGCTACTGGGGAGACTGAGGCAAGAGAATCACTTGAGCCCAAGAGTTAGAGGTTGCTGTGAACTATGGGGTGACAAAGTGAGACTGTCTTAAAAAAAAAATCATATATAAGTTTTAAAAAGCAGACTCGAGTCTTTCCATGCTCTGTTATTCCATTGACTGATATAATAGCAATATTTTGCCTGGGTTTGGAAATATCTTCCTTACTGCTACCAAATCTTCATTATCTTTGGGATATATTTTTTGTAGAATTCTTTTAGTTAGATCTCTAGGGGAGAAAAGTACTTTAGTATTACGTATTGTTTACTTAAAATTGTTAAAATCCTTTTTATTGTGATTTTACTGCAAAAGATCAAAACCATAGGATTAGCATTTCTATTTAAATACATCAAAATCTCAAACGTCAGTCAGTCTGTTGCACTATTCATGTGTGAAAGCAAATTACGTTTGCATTAAGGAATTCTCTTCTCCATAACATATGTTCAGTAAACATTTGACAAATAGATTTGGAAACAAAGAACCCATGAGTAAAATGAAAAATGATATATATTTTCCACTTTTCAGCGGTTTTTGCTTTGAAAAGTGAGATGGCAAAAGGATCTCTTCCCCAAAACTTGCATTCCTAAGAACTAAGTAAAAAATGAAAACACTTACATTTATGTTAGTCATGTTTTCAGTCTTGAAGATTAAATGTATTCAAAGAGTAGAGCTTTGGAAGTAGAGCCGGAAAAAAAAAGAGGAAAAAGAGCAGTGCTAATGGTCTTTGTCTTTCAGATTTTATCAAATTAGCCAAAAAATGCAGTATAAAATGAGCCTTTTATTTGGCCTCCTAGGTGGAAGGGAGATGTCTTTCCATTTCTATTAAGATACATTTGACTTCTTGATATTGAAATATGCAGTAAGGAAAATAGGATTAAGCTGTTTTCACTGTTAGACCTTCTTACTCAGTTTGCTTTCATCTTTTGTAATAATTGTGAATCCCTTGCTGATTCTGTTAATAGCTAATTCTATAAAATACTTTAGGGTTAACCTATTTCAATATTTCCTACCAAGTCAAGACAAACTTTTTACTCATTCAGAACTTTGACTACCAAAGGATCTTGTTTCTCACACATGTGTGAAATTTTAAAACACTTATGTATGGCTGTGAGTGCACCTGTCTGAGGTGGGGTCTGGCTCCAGGGGAAGCAGCATCCAACCCGTACCCTCTTCCCCCATCCCTTCCATTGGTGTCTTCACAGTCTTGCATACTTCACAGCCAGAGTACTGGCATTGATTCGTTACCAGAGGCTCATCTGACTGGTTTCTACATTGTCATCTTGCTTGGAGTTACTGTAGGAAGAGGGTGGCAGGGGTATAAGAAGGTGGCAAGGTAGGACCCAGGCATTGCTCAAATTGGAGGAAAGGGATAATCCTTTCTTCTGTGTTTTACATTTTGTGTAATTGGGAGATTTGTAGCCCACTTGTACATATAATCAGTCACTCCCATATCTGGTGGACCCAGGGAAAAATAAATGTTGAATCTATCTATCTATCTAAATGTTGAATCTCTCTCTCAGTGCGGAGAGGGGGATCAGTTATATGTGCCTCCTATGGACCATATGACTAGTGAAGGGAAGGAAAGCTCGATGCTCACAATGGACAAGAGTCAAGGAGGCAGTGAAGTGTTACAGCTCTTTTAGAAATGATCTAGCAAGTTTTCCAGTCTCCACTGCAAGACACTCCCAGCCTTCCAACACACACACAAAAGTGTATATAGGCAGAAACCCTCATACTGTCTTTCCTCAGCAGACTGCCAGCCCTACTTCACCTTTAGTTCACTTTGGGCCAAGTGTCCAGTGTGAACCTGGCTTTGTGATGTATAATCCTATCCCCAGTTCCCACCTCAGATGCCAGAATAGATTCTGGGCATCTGTGATTTCTAAGACCATGGAAACTTGCCTTGAGCTTGGGTCTGTGCAGATTGAGCTTTTGTTCACATGCTTGCTTAGAGGTATGAGAAAGGTTTTGGAAATGTTTTTTTAAGTTGTTTTTCCTGGTATAACTCAGTAGGAGCAGAGTGAGGAGGAGGAGGATTTTCATTGGATTGGATTTGTGTTTCACCCCCTTGATTTACTGAGGAATTTAATATGTGTATTTTGGACCTATATAAGTTAATGGATCACGGTAGAGAATTTAGTGTTTTATTGACTTGTAAAATAGTATGGCTCGGCACCTGTGGCTCAAGTGGCTAAGGCGCCAGCCACATATACCTAAGGTGATGGGTTCAAATACAGCATGGGCCTGCCAAACAATAATGACGGCTGTAACCAAAAAATAGCCAGGTGTTGTGGCGGGCGCCTGTGGTCCCAGCTACTTGGGAGGCTGAGGCAGGAGACTCGCTTGAGCCCAGGAGTTGGAGGTTGCTGTGAGCTGTGATGCCATGGCACCCAACCCAGGGGGACAGCTTGAGGCTCTGTCTCAAAAAAAAAAATAATAATAATAACATAAAATAAAATAGTATAATTTAGGAAATATTAATCTAGATCAGTATTTTTTTTTGCCATTTTTGGCCAGGGCTGGGTTTGAACCCACCACCTCCAGCATATGGAGCCAGTGCCCTACTCCTCTGAGCCACAAGTGCCGCCCCAGTATTCCTTATTTTAAAGGTGAATTACCTTACTTGCTGTTAAAATATAGTTGTAAAAGCAGTATTAGAATCCTATAAACCTGACTCCTTACTATGAGACCTTGAGAAAGCCAAATCATCTCTAAGCATCATTTTTTCTCGTCTGTAACACGAGCTTAATATCTACCTGGGAATAGGTTTTGGCTTAATAATATTTTATAATACTACCTTTAGGTTAAAAAAAATCACAAATAGTGATATGAAGAGGTATGCTTGTATATTTCCCTCTTAAAACTCTTCACTAGTTTTTGTAGTACATATAAAAGTACAGACACCTAATTTAGGTTCTATTAGTCTTATTTCTAATTAGGAAAATAATTTCCTTGAAGTCAAAGGCTAATCTATATTTCATAATGTAAAACAAAATTAGAGGCTTAATTATTAGTGATTTTGTTGAAAAGTCAAAACGTCTAGGTAATTTCAACAAGTGGCTAGTGCAGTGGTTCTCAACCTTCCTAATGCCGCGACCCTTTAATATAATTCCTGTGGGTCGCGACCCGCAGGTTGAGAACCACTGGCTACTGTCAGCTACTCTACCTTTTCTTTTTTTTTTTTTTAATTTAAAGCATGCATGCTTATGTGTGTTAATAACATATTTGTGCAAAAATTGAAAAAAAAACTTTTTTTTTAATTAGGAGAGAGAAGCGCTTCAGAAACAGCTGGATGAAGCAAATCGAGAAGCACAAAAATATCGACAGCAGCTTCTAAAGAAAGAACAGGAAGCAGAGGCCTACAGGCAGAAATTAGAAGCTATGACGCGCCTTCAGACTAATAAAGAAGCTGTTTGATTGAAATGAACATATAGCTTGATTTTACTTTTGGTCAAGAAAGAATACAATCTTGAACTGTACACAATAAAGGTACAGTCACGGGAATACAGGATAATAGAAGACTACAGATCGATAATTGGACTTAAGCCATGAGCTCTGAATTCTTGTAACATAAAACTTTAGAAGTTGTGAAATGTATTTAAAACTGAATTCTGTAAATAGTTCTTGGTTGTTTTTTTTTTTACAGTTCCAAATGAGTTGATAAAGATTGTTGAAGAGATCCAAAAACACAAAAAGCCACTGTTTTTGTGAATTCTTTTTTGATTTTAGTATAAACCTTAATTTCTCAGAAACAGAACAGTTTTAAGGGTGATCGTTGTTGATTAGACCAAATGTTGTGTAATAATTATGGTGGACTGATGCTGGAATTACTCCTGTAGGTATAAACTTCTATATGAAGAGATTTCTCCCAGGAAATCTTTGTACAGCTTTAAGTTGTCTCAGATTCTCTGAAAACATTTTTTAGAAAGCAAAATTTTTATATTTGTTCAATTTCAGCTATACGCAAGTAGATTTACATGTATATGAAGCAAATATTTTTTAAACTTTCTGTTTGTACATATTCTGCATGTTTTATAATTTCAAAATGCATCACTTAAATAGGTATTTTTCCCACAAAGATGATGAAACTTACCAGAAAAGGAAAAAAAAAAAAAAACCTCTGACTATTCTACAGGTCATTGAAACTAAACTATCAGTTGGTTTTATTGGAATGACAATGTTCTTGGAAGGAACAGCGTACAAGATAACTTGAATTTGCAAACTCTGCAAAACCTATACTTTTTTGAAAATTTCATAGTGGGGACGTGAAACTGTATTCTGTGCCTTCCATCATGATTTCCACATGAAAGCACTTTAAGGCACTGGATTTTAAGATAATGTTTTTGGAAAACTCACTGCATATGGGTTTCTGAAATACTTCATGGACTGATTTCTCCCCCAGGAAATTATTCTTATGAAAAAAATTGCTTTTGTATGTAGAACAAGAACTTTTTGTACTACAGTGATGCTCCGGATATGTCTAACATATCTTTTCCTTTTCCCTATGAAAACTCAGTGTCTGTGCTGTGACTTGCTCTCATCACAATATTGTTGAATTCCACAATGTATGAACCTTTTTTTTTTTTTTTTGCAAAACATAACTTCCACCCCCTTTTTTCTTGCTTTATTTTTTAATGTTTTATTGCTTTATGGAAATGTTTAACCCTAAAACCCCTCTAGATTACTTATACTGTATAAAGAAGCAATTACCCTTAAAACTGTACTCTGGTCTACTTTTCTATTTTACAATTAAATATCTTTTCCACATACGTTCAGTGTACATTTATTTTGTCAATATTTTATTCATATGTTACAAATTGTATACTACTGTGTATTTGAGCCATATTCTACCATATGAAAATATATTTTACTCTTCACTCTGTGACTTTAAAATTCCCAAAGTAACTTTAGGAACTTGTTAGTTATCTCTCCAAAATTACCAGTATGACTAATGTAATAAGGGAACCTGTGGACTATTAGCCTGATACTTGCCATTCGGGAGCTCTTAAAAAGGTCTTGGGGGCTCGGCGCCTATAGCTCAACCGGCTAAGGCGCCAGCCACGTACACCTAAGGTGGCGGGTTCGAATCCCCAGCCCGGACCCGCCAAACAACA